GCCTCGGAAACCCAAGGAGGGGTCGCTATGAGTCGGGTCTGACTTGATGGCACATAACAACAACAACAACAACAACAACCTGTTCCTTAAATAAAAACAAAAACAAAAACAAAAAAACCCTAAAAAACTTCTTTTGCCAGATTTAAACTATAATGTACTCTAAACCCATTCTTCTTGTCTGTTACCTTCTCCCTTTCTTGATTTAGAGGTACTGGGGCTGCTATCTTGTCCCATTGGAGATTGTCTATTTTCATGATGAAGTTCTTCCTCAATTCCACTTTCAGATGACTGAGCACTTAATGTTCCTTCATTCCAACTTTTACAGTTTTCATGAGAACCGTGCCTCATAGATAGTGTTGGTTCTGATTCTATATTTCCATCAAGGTTGCTTCCATTGCAGAATTTAGATGGTGGACAATGTTGTGATATGAATCCAATAAACTTCATTCCTCTTTTAGCAGCTACATTAATCTGAGGTTTAAAAAGAGATGGTAGAACAAAGTGTAAACTTTATGTACAATGATTTCATCAATTAACCTTTAGGCTTATTGAGGTAGTCCATTAGAAGGAGTAACTTGACCAATAACTAAAGACCACTCATAAAGTAATTAATAACACCTAGTAACGCAGCCTGGCGGCGCGATGGTTAAACACTCAGTTATTAACTGAAAGGTCAGCAGTTTGAATCCACTAGTGGCTCTGCAGAAAAACAGACCTGGCAATCTACTCATGGAAAGATTACAGCCTAGGAAACTCTATAGAATGGTTCCACTCTGTCATGTGGGGTTGCTATGAGTTGGAATGGACTTGCTGGCACAACAACAGGATGGCACTAAAGACCCTGGCAGGTGCCAAACGTTAGCACGTTCAACTGCTAACCAAAAGGCCGGCAGTTCAAGTCCACGCAGCAGCACCTCAGAAAAAAGGCCTGGTGATTTACGTCAAACAAACAAGCCCCTGAAAACCTTCTGGGGCACAGTTGTACTCTGACACACATGGGAGCACCTCGAGTTGGAACAGACTCCGTGGGAACTGGTTTAGTTGGCAGTACAGCATCACCCTGAAGACTACATCATACCATCACTGTGCCACCCTCAAACAGAACTAATACACTTTAGAAGTTATGAAAATAGGAATCATATTTTTCTTGGAAAGGCTACCATTTGGGAAAAACAAGTAATTTGATAGATGACTTCCGCTGATTAGTTAATAATGGTCTCTGTCTCTAGTTGAAGCAAAATTCAAAACTGTCCCAAGAAATCTTTAACAATAACATTACCAATTACATCTTCATTGATAAAGATGAGATTTATTCATTAAGAGACAAAAAAAAAAAAAAAAAGCACACACACACACACATTGTTTGCTCCATACATTTAGGTAAAGAGAAATGTTAAGAGAGTAATTCTTGATATCTCTGACCAACTTGTGTCTTGATGTTATTGTCTCCTATTGAATCGACTCAATGGCAGTGAATGGGTGGTTATTGTCTCCTAGGTGGACCAAATGCACATCATTAGATTCCATCCCATGGGTTAAAGAATAGGATTCAGAGGCACGTAACGCCAGTGAAATAATTTGGGATCTTTGAGAGTTTTTTCATGCTCACCCTTTTTCCTATTCTGATTTGGCCTCATGTCTTTATTCTATCTGGGTCCACGTCTCTCTCCTGCATTACAACGTAATTCTTTGAAGGGCAGGGACTGTGTCTTGTTCTTGCTTGTATCGTGATGTCCTGCACCTAGAAAGTGTTCTCTAAGTACTTATAAGTTAAAATGAAGAAACAACAACATCTTTAATACAGTCACTGTTTTAAGTGATATTACCTAGGAGGGGAAGAAAGAGTTACGATGGAGGCTGCAAATGCAAACTTCTGCACTTAGAAAGGAAAATGGAATGAAATAGGAAGAACTGGGGCAGAACCAACCTAAAGGGGCAAGAATAATTCAGTCCCAGCTGATAATAGTGGGAATGCAGACCTGATATTTTCAAATATTTCTATTTTAAAGAGAAGTTGGAAATCTGGCTTTTTATGTGAAATTCCTGAGTTATAAATATTGATTCCAAATCATTAAAAACATGTGTATGCTAAAGAAAATATGTCTGTGAACAGAATTTGGCCCATGAATTCGTAGGCTGTGACCCTTGATAATTTGGTTCATTTAGTTTTCTGTTACTGGTAAATACACTGAGTTTTCTAGTTGTACCCAAACTATTTTGGATAGTTTGGTTGGTTTCACCCGGGTGTTGGGGGGAGAGGGTAGGGCACATTAGGGAGGGGGTCGGAGGCTGTACCTAAGGGTGGGTGAGGGGCAGAGGCAGGCAGTAGAATGCTGGGGCTGGTCTGTATGGGGTCCCAAGAGCCCAATTTGCATATCCACCCACCTGCACGCTCAGTGAAATCACACTGGTCACTTGAAATTTGCCGTGGAGGGAGAATTTAAACCACAGAAATCAGCAAATGCCGGAAAACGGTGACCCCTTCCTCTCTTTGGAAAGCCAATGCTCAGGGTATCACTGGATGACATGATCCCGGGGGCCTAGAGTTTCTATTTTGATTCCTTCTTTCCCATTTCTCCACTCCTTGCCTATCCTAAATCCCAGATTTGTAAAACAGAGAGAGGAAATGGATAGTCATTGTGAGAGAATGCGGACAAAAGTACTTCTGGAGACAAATGGTGCCGCAGTGTGATGCCGTAGTTAGGTTCTCCTGTTTCTCCATCTCCATGGAGTCCACAGGTGATGTGGTCAAATTGTCAGTGGATGGACTCCAAACAAAGACATACATATCCACTGTGCTGCCAGGTCTTAAAACCTAAGGAGGCTGGCAAACAAATGTAGCACTAGTCAAGATGCCATGGGATGTTTCCAGAAAAGTTGTCCTCTTTCTGGCTAGGTCATTTCCAGCAGGTTTTTCCAGAAAACACTTAAGAGGGAAGAAAGGCTTCAGACAAATTGTTAAACTGATGAATAAGAAGCTGTGGTATTTGGCTTTTTCTTTTTCTCTTTCCATCCACTCCTTAGTTAAACTGGAAAGAAATGCACTTGTTTTGACCTGAAGGTTGAAGCCAGCTCAAGTCCACGTGTCTTCCACCTTTTCTGTCTATGACAACAAATAAAAAATGACGATGAAGGAAAGGATGCAAAAGGATGGCAAGGTGGGAGAATGGGGGGTGGGAAGACAGAGAAATGGGGCACAGAGCAGTGAAGAGAAGAGAGACTGTGATCGAGGGAAGCCAGCAATAGGAAAAAGCCAGGGGCCTGGAAGAGCAGGAAGGCAGGAGAAGCTTGAGAAGAAGGGAAGAGGGTATGGACGTGCGTAGACAGGACCGAGGACTGTGACTGGTGGTACAATACCATTTACTCCTATAAACTAACAAAATGAGATCCTAACAGTGCCTGAAGGTACCCTGGGAGAGAGTGAGAGAGGCGGTAAACAGGCATGGCAGCTGCAGGGAGAAACAACCGAATTTATTGTCAGCACTTTCTCTACCTGTTTTCAGTTGATTTGGGTCAAACAGCACAGAAGACGTTTTCTATTACTGGAAAATTCTATTTGAAAAGGTCTGGTAACAAATAGAGTATTAATGTTTTTTTTCCATATCTTAAGCTGAAGGATTAGTGTTTTTTAAAATTTTGAGGAAAAACACTTAGAAACCTAATTTTAAAAATCCAATGAGCACTGGTATAATGTTAGAACTTGGCTTAGAATCTAGCTGCTCAACAATCAACTCTTTATACAAGGCAACTGTTCACGGGCAATGTTTGGCATTCATCTGCTGCTTTGCTCACACACAGGGCAATGTTCAAATATTTCATGTACTGTTTCCCGAAGTTTTTTCTTCATGGAATAACCCCATTACTCTAATTGGTGAAATAACAGTACTTTCCTGTTTCAATAGTTCTTTAACTGTGTCCAGGAAGTCAAATGCAAAACAAGGGCTTTGATGATGATCTATTAAGACTAAATTAATAGTTACATTTTTGTTTTCAAAAAGAAATTTCTAGAGTGAATTTATTCCTAGAAAAAACATTCTAAACTTCCCAGAAAAGTAGTAGTAAATAGTATGTGTATCTTTTTATAAAAATCTAATCTCAAAGACTGTTCCTAAAATACTTATTGAATGGTGCCTTTATACCTAAACAGGACATAGCATGAGCAGCTAGTACTGGTTATATACAAACCACAGACAATTTTATGATGTGGTCATTTACAGCTTGGGAACATCTATAGAGACAGTAAACAAGTTTCATGTTTTCTTACTTAAAAACAAAATGCCTTCCCTTTTCAGTTGTATGTATTTAAAGAAAAGCTAAAACGTTACAAATATGACAACCAATCCACCAAACCCACTGTGTAGAGTCAAATCTGACTCATGGTGATGCTAAAGGACAGAGCAGAACTCTCCCACAGGGTTTCCAAGGCTGTAAATCTTTATAGAAGCAGACTGCCACATCCTTCTCCTGCAAATATACCAATACAAGTGAAAAAAAAAAAAAAAAAAAGCTTTCACACAAATTTCTGTCAATTTAGAATATTTATAATTTATGAGTGTAATATATTTTTCTTGGTTTTAATGAACCTGCTTATTAAAACTCTCAACTCAATTCACTGCCGTTGAGTTGATTCCGACTCATAGCAACCCCTCCTTGGGTTTCTGAGGTGGTATCTCTACAGAAGTAGATTGCTTAGTCTTCCTTCCAAGGAGTGGCTGGTGGGTTTGAACTGCCAGCCTTCTGGCTAGCAGTCAAATGCCTTAGGCACTGTACCACCAGAGCTCCTCAACCTGCATATAGTGTTTAATTTTTCATTTAGTTTTCAATTAAGTTATATTGTATATACTTTTCTATCTTGACATGGTCAATACAGTTGTCATGCTTGTTGTTGGTTTTATGTGCCGTCGAGTCGGACTCCACTCATAGCGACCCCTCCTTGGGTTTCCAAGGCAGTATCACTATGGAAGTAGATTGCCCCATCTTCCTTCTGAGGAGTGGCTGGTGGGTTTGAACTGCCAGCCTTCTGGTAAGCAGTCAAGTGCCTCAGGCACTATGCTACCAGAGCTCCTGGTACCGACAAAATATTCCATTGTACAGATAAGTCGTTGCCATCTTAGCAGTCTTTTAATTATTGAAAATTTGGCCAATTATTTACTGTTGATTAATATATCTTTGTATAAAAATGATTTTTTTCCCTTTTCAATTATTTTCTCAGAATAGATTCCCAAAGAGGAGATTACTGGGTCAAAAAGTAAAATTGGACTTGCGATTCAGAAAAGTTATACTAATTTATTATAATGTCAGTTACAGCATATGAACATTGTTTTCTTAATTCTCTGCCAATGTTAGATTTAATAATTTTATCTAATTTTCCAGTTTAAGAGTAGTGAGATGTATTTTTACCTACATTAAAAATTATTAGCTAGTGTTTTGGTTACTTCCTGCTGTGCTAACAGAAATACCACAGGCGAAATGTCTTTAACAAATAGGAATTTATTCTCTTATAATTTTGGAGGCTAGAAGTCTGAGTTCAAAGTGCCAGGCTCTAGGGGCTGGCAGAAAGCCCCTCGACCTTGGGCTTCAGCTCTGCCTCCTGCTCCCAGCCCACTGAAGCTGGAGGCTTTCTTCACTCAGGCAGCTGCTGGAGCTGAGGCTGGCAAGTCCAAGGTCGACAAGGGAAGCGGCACGGCCCTGATATCACCAAACCACACTGCAGGCCATTGATTCAAGTCCATTAAAAGTCCCAAGATCGGCTGGGCAACAACTCAGCTACATTCAGGGTTCAAGCATGCCGTCAGCTGGAGACCTTCCTCAAAGCTGCTGCTTATCCACTGGAAGCAGCCACATCCCTAAAGCGGCTACTCAGCTCCTCCAGGAGAGTCCACCATGGAACTGATTGCCATTCTCACCATGGGGCATAACGACATCCAGCTGCCCAGCCACTCAACCAGGCCCAGCCAAGTTAATCCACAACCTTAACTAGCACAGCTAGCTTGAACCTTTTGCAAATGTCTCTTTATTACTTATATTTCCATTTGTACTTGCTGTTCATGGACTCTTTCCAGTGATGACTGGACATCATCTTCATGGATTGGTGGTATTCATCCCCTAAATGTTCTGAAAATGAAGCTCTCATAAGATACATTTGTTGCACATTATGCTTTGCTCCACAGAGTCGTTTTTTTCCCCCCAAAACTTAGTTTTCCTGGTACCAAAACCAAACCCAACCCATTGCCATCGAGTCATTTTGACTCATGGTGATCCTATAGGGCAGGGTAGAACTGCCCAATTTTCAAGGCCATGGATCTTTACAGATGCAGACTGCCACATCTTTGTCCCACGGAGCAATGGTGGGTTCCAACATCGACCTTTCAGTTAGCATACAAGTGCTTTTAACCATTGTGCCGTTAGGGCTTCTTGTTTTCACAGTACATAAGTTATATTCATATACTCAAATTCTTCAATCTATTATTCATTACTGAACATGTCTATTCAACTATTCTCTTCAAGATGTTTCATATTTTAAAAAATGTACCCCTTCATATCATCAGAATTGTATTATGTGGTGTGAAGTACCTTTTCTACAGAACAATTGTCCATGTTCTCATCAGCATTTATTAAGAAATGGTTGTTCCTCTGTTCTATTTCATGTGGTTTGTGACTAAACTTATATGTGTTGAAATTAATTTCTGGCATCTCCATTCTCTTTTATTGGCCTGTGTTTTTGTTATTAATTCTGTACAGTTTGTTACCAATTCTTCAATATGTTTTGAATTCTGGTAGAAAAGTCATCTATTACTTTCCTTATCTTTTTAAACAAAGGAAATCGATGAAGAAAAAAATACCAAACATTTCTTAGTATCTCATTTAAAAAATGTACACATTTTAGGTAAATACCTTTTCTATCAGTTCTTTTGCTGTTTCATTTGTTTGTGTCTCATAAATTATGGGAAATTCCTCAATGACAAGCCTTGCTCGTCTTTGTCCACTGGGTGCTGTTGAATGTTTCGGGCTGTAACAGAGAGAATATGTTCATGGTTGCAGGTCAGTTGCTGATTTTCAGCTAACATGCTCATGAGAAAATGAAGTCAAGTCAAGTCTGGGTGGCTGTCGTATTATGTAAAAATACCAAAAACACATAATAACTTGTTAATTTAAGCTTCTATTAATTTCATTTTCTAATTTAAATACGGAAGAAGAGTGTCTTGCCTGCTGCTTTAGTAAGAATTATGAGAAATGATTTTACATCCGCATTATACCTCACTATTGCCCAAAGTAAAATTCTTATTTAAATGCAGAGAAATATTGCTCTTTTTTCTTTCTCTTATTTTCTGATATTGTTTTCCTTGCTTATTCTTAACATTGTCAAGGCTCTGCTAAGACTATCTGAAGTAATGCTAAAAGCAGAAAAGATCATTTATACATGGCTGATAAGATTTGTAATTAGGATGCAAGTATCACTCTGAGTGAAAGTGTCTTGGCGGTTTACTGGTGCCTGCACTGTAATGATCTGAGGAGGCTCCGTGTTCCAGTGACAGCTGACGCCTACAGACCCCTCCCAGACCCCCGTAAGTAGATAATCATTCGGCAGCAGACTAGCAGCCGTTGCCACTGAGTGGACTCCAATTCACGGTAAGCCCCTGTGTGTCGGCGGGGAAGTGGGCTTCGTTGGGTTTTCAATGACTGACTCTTCAGATGTGGATAGCCAGGCCTGTCTTCTGAAGTGCCTCTGAATGGACTCGAACCTGCAGTCTTTCAATTAGCAACCGAGCATGTCACTGTTTACACCACCCACGGACTTCTACTAGCAAATAGTGTCCCTTAAAAACACACCTGGAATTTTTTTAAGGCCCTTTTTGCCCCTAATTTCCCATTTTTGTCTTATTTCACTTTTCCTTCTCTATTTAGTCCTTTCATAAAAAAGAAGACATGATTTTTACTCTGGTCTCCTGGATGATTTTGATATAGTTGAAGGGTTGTGTTTAAAAAAAAGAGTTAATGTTAATCTAAGACATTGCTCTGGCTATTTTTTTTTTCCCCCATTAATAGAAGGAAAACAGTATTTTATCACAAAAACAATCAAACTTAACTAGTCTGGCAAAATGGAGTATTGTTTTCAAAAGCAGCCATTAAAGAAAGTGTTTATAATTAAAAAAAAAAAACCAATATGGTTGGCTGGTAAATCTTATTTTGGGGAAAAAGCTAACAAGAAGGCTATTCAGTTTGTGACAACTTGGCATAGATTTTTCCACTATGTAAGTCAGAACGTAGTGATAGTTTCTGTTGCCACTGCTAACAAAACAGTATAACCCACTGCATCAAGTCAATTCTGATTCATAGCAACCCAAACTGCCCCATAAAATTTCCAGTGTTGTAATCTTTACGGAAGCAGATTCCCAAGAGTGGCTGGGGAGGTTTGAACTGCCAACCTTTTGATTAGCTACTGAGGGCTTCAACCACTGAGCCACCAAAACTCCTTAACTTCAAAAAGCCTGGCAGAAGTGGCCGTCATAGGTGCTGCCAATTCTTTTAGCCCAGTAATAGTACTTGTTAGGAGCCCGGATGGTGCAATGGTTAAGTGCTGGGCTGCTAGTGGAAAGGGTGGTGGTTCAACCACTCAGTAGCTCCTCGGGAGAAGGACTTGGTGATCTGCTCCCATAAAGACAACAGCCAAGGAAACACTACTCAGTCACATGGGGTCTCTATCAGTCAAAATCCACTCAAAGGAACCTACCTTCAACAATAGTACTGGTAGCTAACTGCTGCTCCCTCATCAGCTGGAGCTACCACCAGAGTTTACGGGCACCTCTTGAATTGATTTTGCTTTCCTCACATCCACTAACACCCTCACTTAGGGTGTGTTAAAATCAATCAGGAGTTTTAAAGGTTTATGATTCCCTCCTCTAATGCAGGTTCAACTGTTGGAAAGTATGCCTTAAAACCACAACCTCTAATTACCATTTTTTTCTCCATCACTTTGTTCAAACTTTCTTTTCTTTTAACCAAAGAAAATTGTCACTCTCAACAGCCTAGTGAGTGGAAAGGTTGGCAGTTCGACCACTCAGCTGTGGTTTTCTTGAGGACTGTTTTCTTGAGTACCAGCAATATATATCAGACAGTGTTTCACTGCTATTTATAAGGTTTTCGCTGGCCAGTTTGAGAAGTAGATAGCCTCTTCCTTCTTCTGAGTCTGTCTTAGCCTGGAAGCTCCGCTGAAACCTGTCCACCATGGTAACCCTGCTGGCATTTTGCAACACTGTGGCATAGCCTCCAGCCTCATAGCAACACGTAAGCCACCACAGGACAACAAACTGACAGACAAGTTCATCTCCCTTAGTTGTTCCTAACCCCTGTGCATCTGCCTACATTGGGCAATGGCCTTGAAATAGAGCTACCTATAAGAGAAAAGCAGCCCGCCTACCTCAGGGCCCGGCCTTACTACAGGCTTACCTTAACTTCAAGCGCCATAGCACCACCCTGTACAGGTAACTTGCTGGTAAGTGTTTTCGCGGTCCCACAGGTTGTATAACAGGATGAATAGCCCCAATGATATATCCTTTAAGATAATAGTCTTCCACTTTTGTAATGATATCCAGAATGGAATTTATCTTGATGACTTCTGGGTTAGATGAAGCTGAAATATCAAAAGCAAAGACAAATTTGTTCATTCACAAAATTAGATTATACATTATTTCTATCTCTGTGTAATAATACTCATGAATAGGAAAAATATCTATCTGGCTTAACCACAAATAAAATTACAATAACATGTATTCTATATTTTGTACTTTAAAGCAAAACTGACCTTATAAACTGGAAGATCTATGATATTATCGATATGTCTTAAAGTAGAAATACAATGCTTTATATGCTTCTTTTCCATTGAGGCAACTTTATTTCTTAGGATTTCACTTATGCAAGCATATGCCCAATAATAGCTATTGAAGACATACATAAAAGAAGCAACATTAATTTGAACATTCATTATTTTTATAATTCTAGCAATATGATGCATAATTCCTTAAGAATAAAATCAATAGCAATCTACAAATAAAAAATGGGAGCAGTGGCAATTGTTAAGCCAGAATTATCATGTATTTTCTTATTCCAATTAGATTTCAAAAGTACCTTGTTTTAAGTTTCTCAAGAAAGCTAAAAACATGATTTCTTATGACCATATATTAATGCTTGAGTAAAGTAATTGAAAAAGTAAAAGTACCCAGAATGAGTAAAATTTCTAGATACAGAGGATAGTAACTATAAAGTCAATATGCAATTAAACCATCCCCAGAAGCAGGGCAAGTCTGTAGCAACAGTAGAACAGTACAATCTGTTCAATTTTTAAAATAGTTAAAGGAAAAGGGTGTGTTATATGGGAAAACGTTCTTAATGTTCCAGCAGTAATAATTTAAAAAACAACTTTTTTTTTCCTTCTGTAACAGTGTTTCTCATTTTCTGGGAAACAATCAAGAATTAATATCTAGAAATAGTCCTGCAATTTGCTCATCTCTTGAGTAACAAAACATATGAAATGATTTCCAGGTATGGAAGTGTGTGTCATTAGCCTTGTCTCCACGTGGTCAGTGGTGTCCAGCAAAGAGCTGCTGCTAATTGCCCGACACAGGAAGGAGGTTAAGAAACACACAAGGAAGAGGGGTCAAAGGAAACGCCCTCCTCCCCTGTGACACGAATACCTACACCACAGAGCAGAAATCTGCCATAGTAAGTATTCATGCCGATTTCTCAAACTGAATAAAGCACTCAACAGAACATTGTATCAGCCAGGATAGATCCATTTCCTCTCATGTTTCATCATCTCTTGGATTTCAACTACTATTCTATTTACAATATATTCTCTTCATCGTTAGGAATAGGAATGAAAACAAAGAATACGGTCCTGGGCCTTGAATTAACAGCTGAACTTCATTGTAAATGGTCTAGCCTGCTTGGTTGGTGAAGCAATCCATTTGGTGGTTCATATGGTTTTATTAGGAGCTCTGGTAGCCTAGTGCCTAAGGCACTTGACTGGTAACCAGAAGGCTGGTGGTTCAAACCCACCAGCCTCTCCTCAGAAGGAAGGTTGGGCAATCTACTTCCACAGTGATACTGCCTCAGAAACCCAAGGAGGGGTCACTACGAGTTGGGTCCGACTTGATGGTACATAACAACAACAACATGGTTTCATTGGGAGCTCTGGTAGCATAGTGCCTAAGGCACTTGTTTGCTAACCAGAAGGCTGGCAGTTCAAACCCACCAGCCACTCCTTGGAAGGACAATGAGGCAATCTACTTCTGTAGTGATACTGCCTTGGAAACCCAAGAAGGGGTCACTATGAGTCCGACTCGATGGCATATAACAACAACAACATGGTTTTATTCTTCTTAGTATTTTGACTACTATCCCTGATTTTGAAACAAAGCAATTGAAAAACTATAAAGTAAAACGGACTAAAATCTTAAGAGTAAGGAATAAAACATGGTAGCATAGTGGCTAAAGCACTTGACTGCTAACCAGAAGGCTGGCGGTTCAAACCCACCAGCCACTCCTCGGAAGGAAGGTTGGGCAATCCTACTTCCGTAGTGATACTGCCTCGGAAACCCAAGGAGGGGTCGCTATGAGTCGGGGCCGACTCAACAGCACATAACAACAACAACAACAAACTTATTTTTAGAAGTATATACTAATCCTTCAAAATTTTAAAGAAAATCCAAGCCTTTAATGGACCCCATTGCTTACTGCAGAGAATGGAAATGTTTTACTACAATACAAAAGAATCTTCTTGAGGTCTGACCTCTGCCTACTTATTTAGCCTTAACTCTTGCCATCCTTCCCTTTGCACGTCTTACTGTGGCAAGCCTCTGCTACTTGGAGCTCTTGCCCATGCCACACTGTTTCAGTGCTGCTAGGCCTTCCTGTCCTTCCCTGTTCCTCCATCCCTAGTTAATCAATCCTTCCTCCGTGCTCAGCATGCTTCTCTATTCGTGCCCTTATCAGACTGTGTTATAGTTAGTTGTTTATGTATCTGTCTCTGCTGTTAAACTGAGAATTCCTTAAGGTCAACGAATATGTCATATTCATCTTTCCATGCCTAGCATGTTCCATAGGTGGTATGTTAACTTGGGGATACTGCTCATAATGGGAATCAGGGGGCAAAATTAATGCATAGAATGAGGGAAAGCTATCTAGGTTAGCTAGTAGAAACAAAAAAGTTCTGTTAGTAAATTCAGAAACAATTGTATAGGTTATCTGGGCCTTGTAGGAGAGTGACAAAACAGAGAAAGGACACAGTAGCAATGTGGAATTGGGGTTTTAGTCTTTTGATTATATAATGTGGTCAAGAACCTAGTGACTATCCCACCAGGTAGAGTTAACGGTCATGTTCTCTTTATGCTCTAGAGTAAGGCCCCACCTTATGCATTAAATTACAATGAGAAAGATCATATTGCAAATGTAGCAAAGAGAGGTGGAGCTACAAGGAGTTTCTTCATTTTGGGGTGAAATCTGGAGAGGAATTTGGAGAGGATTATACTATGGATGAAGAATGATAAAATGAAGGGAAAGAAATTGGTTTATATTTAAAAGGGTTCATTTGGCCTTGCAAGCTTGGCAGAGCTTCTGGACACTGTCGGCCTTGCATCTCTTGCTGAGTTCTGACTAGAACTACTGTGAAGTCATACCTTGTTTTACTGAGTCTATTCTGACATCATTGCTTGGGAGTAACCTCACAAATCAAGAACTCAGGATTAGGAAAAAGTCTACTCTCCTGGTGCCATGGGTTCAAGATTGGAGCAATTCAGGCAGCCTGACACTGTTTGTTCTCTGTGACCTTGCCACCACCCCAGAAAGCGGGGCAATACGGGACTAACATATAGAAACACATAAGAAATGAGTTCAATGAGGCACTTAGGACTTTAAAAGTATTTCCAATTATTCTGTATTTTCACCACATGCTGAGCAGTTAGCAGTTAATATTCTTCTATTTCCTTCTATAACACCACCTTCAATCATTAAATTAAAGATTATATGTCAAAGATTCTAAAAATTTTTTTTATTGTGATTTGGGTGAAAGTTTACAGAGCAAATTCATTTCCTAAATAGCAGTTCATACATATTTTGTTTCATGACATTGACTGCAATTCCCCACAGTGTAACAGCTCTCTTCTCACTTCCTCCCTGTAGTTACCTCTTCCCTGTGGCCTTCCCTCCCAAAGATTTTTTTTTTTTTTTTAAAGCATAATGGCATCACTCCTCAGAAGGAAGGCTGGACAATCTACTCCCGTATTGACACCGCCTCGGAAATCCAAGGAGGGGTTGTTATGAGTCGGGTCCGACTCGTGGGCACGTAACAACAACAACAACAATGGCATCTGGCTTATTAAAAAGAAATGGTATGCTTTATTCCTCAAAAATGATGCAAGAAAAATAAAGCACTTTGATCTTTTTCTAGCAGATATACTTGATTATACAGCAAGGTAGAACAAATGAAAATTTAAAAAAATGAGTGAAAGTATAAGAAATTCAAAAGCTTATTTAAAAAATATTTACTTGACAAAAGTGAGACACAGATTGTGGCTGATAACTTATGCAAGTATTGGTGAGGGGTGAGCATTTCCTTCTTGTGAAAACGTCTTTGTAAACTGTAAAATTCATGCAAGAATGAAGGTGCGCCTTGATTTGGAAATTCCTCTTGCATTTTAATCATGACCATAGGCCAGGTGGTAATTATAATGTGGCTATTATTACATGAATGAAGTTGGTTGTTTTCTTTAAATAATAATTGTTTTTTACATTGTGATAAAATATATGTATAACATGAAATTTTCAGTTTTAGCCATTTTTGAGCATAAAATTCAACAGCAGTAGTTTCATTGACAATGTTGTACAACTACATTGCAACAAGTGGGTGACAGCTGCACACAGTGGTTGTGTTCAACTCTCACCACTATCTATTTCCAAAATTTGTCATCACCCCAAATAGAAACTGTGTATCCATTAAACAACTCTCCTTTCCCCCCTCGCCCAAACCCTGGTAACCTCTGCTCTGTTTTTTGTTTATGCACTCGCCTATTGAGATACTTCTTGTAAGTTGTTTATATGATGTCTGTGCTTTGTGTCTGACTTATTTCACTTAGCATAGTATTTTCAAGGTTTATTTATGTTGGAGCAGGTATCAGAATTTCATTTCTTTTTATTATTTTTTTTTCCATTGTGTGACTGAACAACTGAAAATTTCAATCAACAGATTGTTCAAAGATCACTTATAGAAAGAAGGAGTCCTGGTTGGTGCCTGAAAACTTTCATTGGTAACCTTGGGTAGTATCAAGAAAGCCCAGTATCATCTTAAAAGCTTGCAAGCAGCCATCAAGATGCAACAATTGGTCTCTCTTCAGAGCAAAGAAGAATGGAGAAAACCAAAGACACATGGAAACAATTAGTCCAAGGGACTAGTGGACCATGAGAACCTCAGCCTATATGACTGTGAGACCAGAGGAACTAGATGGGGCCTGGCTACTACTGCCAACCACTTAGAAAGGGATGAGTGCAAGAGATCCTGGATAGAGGGGAGAATGTGGAACAAAACCCAAACAAACAAAACCCAAAATCATAAAAAAGACCAGGCTTACAGTCTGATAG